GTCACAGAAGAGTTGCTCTACTATGTTCTCATAGTCAAAAATGGGTGAAAGCTAAAAGCGTGCACTTTCTGAGGGGGACCTTGAGTCTAAGAAGGATGAGAACCACTGTTATGCACTAACGTGTACAAAGAGCACTGGTGTATTACCCTTACACAACACAACTGGATAGTACCGTGCAGGTAGGGTTGCCAACTCTGAATCTATTCTGGGAGGTTTCCCAAATGCCAACATGCCTGTGACACACACGAGCGTGCCCACATGCTTGTGTATATCAGTTACAGATTACGGTACATGGACTTTAGGCTAGGAAGGCAAACGCACATGACTATTACATTTTCAAACCCACCGGACTACTGTATAAATCAAATTCAACATTTAGTATTTATTTCAATGAATGCCCTATCATTTCTCTCCCGGGTGACTCTCAGCAGTCTCCTGGAGATTTATATCTAATTCTTGGAGACTCCAGGGCAATCCTGGCGGGTTGGCACCCAACATGCAGCAAGTATTAAGGAGAATACCTTCAAATCTACATTAACTGCTGTTTTCCTCTTCACAAAGCCCTACATGTCTTCCCACCCACTTGCCCTTTGCAGGTTGCAGCACTCGAGGACTATCACTGACTGACCAACAAACCATACACGTCTTGGTCCGCGCTGTCAGCTTCTCTGTCTTGGTTTTCCTGAGATCCCCACCGTCCATGATTTTTAAAGCCAGGCAGTGGGCAGAGGAGGCAAAGCCGTCCTTCACTATTGAACCAAGAACTGACCTCTGTTCTCAGTGGTGGCAGGTGACAGAACAAGGAGCAATGGGCTCAAGATGCAGCAAGGGAGGTTTAGGTTGGATATTAGGAAAAAATCTCACTAGGAGGGTGGTGAAGCACTGGGTCAGGTTACCTAGAGAGGTGGTGACATCTCCATCCTTAGAGGTTTTGAAGGCCTGGATTGATAATCCCTTGCTTCGATGATGTAGTTGGGCCTGGTCCTGCTTGGAGCAGGGGGTTGGACCAGATGTGACCTCCTGAGGGCCCTCCCAACCTGACCTTTCTATGGTTCGAAAGGACAGGTCGGCTTGCTGGGCCAGGGGAGGTGGTGGGCAGGAAGAAGGGATACTGCTAGAGATACAGGAACTGATTTCCTGGGGGAAATCAGCAGAAAAGAGGGATGGGAGCGAGGTCGCAGGTCAGTCACAAGGCCTGGTTGATGCATGCGGGACACGCGGGCCTTGCGCCCAGAGCAATGGTTGCCCCCCACCCGTATGGGGGTGACCTCTGGGTTTGCGACAAGGGGGCTTGGGGGACAGGTAACGAGCAGGGCAAGGTGGCAGGTGAAGCACAAGGAAAGGGGACACGGGGGAGCCTGCGGGTGCTGACCAGTGAGACTGCGCCCAGAGGTGAGGGGGGATCCAATGCTGGGGGGGAGTGGGGGCTGGGGACCCCCTGGGCTAGGCTGGGAGGGGAGGTGCGGTGCTGGGGAGCCCCAAGGATGACCCAGGGCAGCACTCTGCCCCTTTAGGGGCTGCCCCTGCCCGGTCCCAGCTCTGCAGTCCTCCAAGCTCAGCGAGAAGGCGGCTAGAGCGCCGCGCGGAAGCGGCCGCCCCCGAAGGCGCCGTTCTAGCGGCAGGCGGCGGTTGCGCGCGCATACTGCGCGTCGTCGTCGGAGTGGGGCGACAGCCGGAAGCGGAAGCAGCGGCTGGGGCCTGGCCAGGCCCGCGAGCGCAGCGCTGAGGGGGCGCGCGGCGGTGAGTGCG